GTGTGGATTCTTCGGATCACATCCAAGTCACGCCAGCCGGACTCGCACAAGAGTGTCTTCTCTCGGGCTACCCAGCATCTGAACGGCTAAAACATGCTAGGGTATGCTTGAGAAAGTGTTTTGACCGGAGACCTTAAGTCAGATAAAGCGCTAGCAGTGCAAACACTTGACACAAAAAAAATATCTTAAATTGTATTTTATTGTGCATAAATCGAGCTAGCAGTTTCGGCTGGTAAAAAAAATATGATTGTAAAAAATATCAAATTTTAACTTATTTTCATTATTTATTGCAAGACGCTAACTACAATATTGTAAAAATCCTGCCTCGTACCCAGACGCGTTCTGGCGGATTCGAGCAGCGTCCTTTGCATCAACCCTAAACGTTCCCGTGGTCCATTGCGCGATACTCCTTGGTGGCTCGTGCAGTCGCGTTTTCCGTTCACACTTGAGACGCCTAGGAACGAGGGAGGTATAAGTCTACTCAAGGCAATTGTAACTCAACGATCAAAGGCGCATTGGTGAATACCGTATTTACTCGATTAAGCAAGCATCCTCGAATAACCGCCCACCCCATAGGCAGGAGCTTGGAATAAGTGTAAAGAAAGCGATGAAAACGGGCGACAGGGGGGACTGGGGAGGGGGAAAAAATTGTTTTGACTCAACACTCGGTGAACGCGCATACAAAGCCTTTATCTACGGACCCGACTATCTCGAGCCTGAAACATGCTAACAAAGACTATGAGTGAGAAGCAGACTGTCTGAGTCATACAGTGCAGCGGGGTAGGGGGTGGGGGAGGGATTAGCCTCCCACGCAGACGTTCGTAGGGGGTTCGTCACGCGTTCCTGCTAGCGGGCGGGGGGTCTCATCTGACGTAAACTATAATTAGAATCTGTGAGAGGCGCTATTCCTCTGGTACCAGTGGCTTGTAAGTTGAGACACCTGTTGTGCCGAGCTTTGCTTCTGCAGGGTAGCCTCCCACACAGACCTTCTTTGAATTTTGGCACGCTTTCCTTCATTTTGACCTGACGAGCCAAGAGGTCATTTGTTACCTGCAGAACGCGTTTAAGCGCTTTTACCGCCGCGGAACAAAGATAAACAGCGGGAACCAAGAGTACAATGAATTGCGTTTAATGTAGTACTAAAATAGGTGATGGAAACAGCTACATAAAAATGAACAAAACAATTCCTACATTTCACTTTTAAAAAGCACACGGACTGAAATATCACATAAAAAAGTATGTTAGAAAAAAAATAAGAAGAATAATAAGAAGAAAAGCATGTTTGACATTTTATACGACCACGTTACAAGAGATATAAGATTTGTAAATAAACACGGAAAATAAACAAATGTATTGTAATTATCGTGGGCTACACAGCATACACTGGTTTGGTTGTAAAATGGGACAGACCAGCTATAACCCAAATGAAAATACCAGCGCATATTGTTGGAATGCCCTTCATTCTTTACTAATGAATGTTCCCTTGCGTTAATTCACCATCTTAAAATTAACAATCAAGGAAGTTCATCATCCTGCTAAATAATTATTGTTCGAGACAAAACGTTTGATATAGTTGACAAGAAATGGCAAATGGAAGAGCTGTAAACACTCAATTTTGCCGCCGATGAGCCGTAAACTAGCCTTAACAAACTACAGTTTCATCTTCAAAAAAAAATGTTTAAGACGAAATGTATCTTGAAGTTTTTAAAACACTTCCGCTTTCGAAAATTACTGAATACAACTCAATATAAATTACTCCATATCTAGACAACGCCTAGTTTTTTGAACACTAAAATACGTACACATCGAGATGAATTCAATAGGCCTCAAACAAAAATGTTGTTCTCGTCTCTACAAAAACGCTGTACGGGAAATGAGCACGCGGAGGAACGATACCTGGCAGTCCTGGTATTTTTTCGGGCTCAGAAAATAGAGAATGCTTCATGGAAAGTGCTGGCGTACGGTATTTACGCACGAGTTGTTGACGTATCAGAAATCGAACGAGTGAGCGCAGCGAACGAGTAAGATTTCTGATACAAAAACAACGAGTGCGTAAATACCGTACAAAGCACTTTCCATGTGGTATTGTGTTTATTATATACATACTGAGACATTCATCATTTTGTCAGCCTTTTTATTTGAAATCTTTCAAAAATGCTAAAATTTGCCGCTACACACTTTAACCGCAACATGACAACGAAAACGGAGTATCAGCTTTTTAGTAAAAACATTTGTTAAAACCATAAATGATGGTAAGGATATGAGGTAATCCAAGAACTATAAGTAATCTTAACTGTTTGTTCTCAATGCACAATTGAAAATGACTGAATGTAAATAAAATGGCCGGTTTCGATATAAGCTTAAGAAAAGTAGCTCCGACAAAAAGTACAACAAAAGCTTACGTCTCGTTCTGTTTTTCCCTTTCCCCGCTGTTGTTTTGCCGGCTCTCTACCGTTTTCTTTATCGACAGTGAAACAAACGAAACTATCCCACTCCAATTCCGAAATGTTTTTCACTTTTTTAGCGAGAAAAACTCTTGAGTAAAACTTTTCTCGTCGAATGTGTGCGAAGTGGCGCTGCAAGCTGCAATGACAGGCGGGAATTTTGGCGCGAAACTCACACACCTCTGTGGCTTCTGATTGGACGTATCATTTTTCTCACACATGAACAAACATCCTTCGCGATTCTGATTGGAAGTATCATTTTTTTCACGTGTGAAAACCATCGGAATTTAACTATTATTGTCTGTTTAATACAGGTTGGCAACAATAGAAATGACCATTTCAGGTACTTCTAGGTAGACTACGAGTAGTCCCCCATTTTCCTAGCCTCCCACGCAAACATTCTTAGGGGTTCGTCACGCAATCTTTCCTCCCCTCTAAAAGCAATGAATTCTAAACTTCAGCTTGTTCATAATGATAATGCGAGTCTTTGTACGGGAGCGCGTTGGCTTAACAGTCTCCTTCTTCGTCGACTGTACATGTGCAAGCAGAGTATGTAAGCACAACTAAATATTTGTGAACAGCATCTTGTCAAATCTTATTTTTGCTCTATTTCTGTTTTTGTTCAATTCTCATTAATTAGGAAAAAGTGTCCATGGACCCGGTGCATGAAAGGGGGTCCATGGACCCGGTCCAAAGTGGGGGTCCATGGACCCCTGGTCCATGTTTTGTCCTCACCCATAGTTAACGGGCATTTCGAGAAACGGTCCCAGGCGCCCGTTTCTCGAAAGTCCCGGTAACTTTTCGGGTCTGGAAAGCCGCTTTGTGTTTGCCGCGTTAACATTGAAGATCAAAGTTTCAATAATCTTGAAAATAACTATCAGTTAACGAAGCAAAAAAATGGGTTAGGAACTGTGCTGCCATTAAACAGGTTTGAATTTTAAAAATTGCCTTCGGGCCTGAAAAGTTTCCGGGCCTTTCGAGAAACGGGCCCCAGGACCCGAGAAAGCAGTGGAATCCAACCTAGGAACTCGTACAAATCCATGAAAACGGATAACTAACGGTGAGAACAAATGTTTCCCATTCTTTTTCTCCCGTTCGTGAAAAAAAATTCATTCAATTAAAGACAATCACCGTCTATTGCAATTCACACATTCGCATTTTTCGTGCTAAGCTTGAAATCGACATTTGAAGGTGGTCTCAGAAAGCGAACTCAAAGTCACAAGCTTGCTTAATTGGTTGGTCGACGTTAGATTTAGACTATGATAACTCTTTTCAAAAATCAATTTGTCCACGTCATTGATACATAATGGGCATAATAGTATTTAAGTGTTAGAACTGAACTCGTCCATGATAAGTCAAAGACAAAACTACAGTAGTTTTCGTGTAGGTAATGGCATGATTTGTATGTGTAATCAAATGGTGACGAGTGAAATTAGGGAATAATTTCACACGCGCTTTGTCCAAATCCTAATAATTTCCCGAGCCTTCAGGCGAGGGAAATTATTACGATTTGGACAAAACGCAAGTGAAATTATTCCTTAATTTCACGAGTATACCATTTGATTATCTATTAATATCATGGGTGACAAATTAGGGACGGACCATTAGAAAACTTATGGGGGCGTTCGAAGTACAAAAAAAAATTCGCGCAAGGGAAAATTAAAAGAAAAAAATTATTGCACGCCAATTAACCCTAAAAAATATTCATGCTATGGCCTAAAAAAAAATTCATACAAGGAATTTGATAACGAAAAAAAATTCCTGCGCCTCGAAAATTCCCCCCCCCCATAACTTTTCTAATGGTCGGTCCCTTAGTAGTGAAATTTGGCGTAAATATCACGAGTAATATTTCAAAATTTGAGACAATTTTGAAATATCACGAGTGGTATTTATGCCAAATATCAAGTAACAAATCATGCTATTATTTGTTTATACTGCTACCCGCAGAAGGTTGTAATTTTCACACGTAGGTATTTCAAATTAAGCTGAAATACCACTGCTCTAAGCCAAGCAAATTGCAGAAATTTCTCATGTAGTAATATGAAAAATTAATCCCTGATATATTAATGAAATCGATACTGATAAATTTAAGCTTCGCTTAGATTAATAATTTTGTAATTATTAAAATTTACGAAATGGTCACTGCGTCAACAAGAAGGAATTTTGTTCTACACTGGCCTTATTTTATCATGGGCTTCGTATCAAAAATTCATAGTTGGCAAAACGTTTAAATGTACGTAGGCATCAATGTACAAAATTTGGGTGACCTGTGTACCACTAAGCGTAAGTGGCTGAATGGGTCATTTGCACGATGGCGTCATTTTACTACTACGACCAGAATCCTTTTCGTGTATATTTGGTTATCCCAAAATTCACCACTTACACATCTCCCCCCATAGTCCACCTTGTTTGGCGCCCCCCCCCCCCCCCCCAAAAAAAAAATTGCCGAAGCAATGTTATCAATTTCTCTTGGTACCACTGTAATACCCAGGAGAAATTAGAAACAAAATTTATATTGTGGGAGATTTGCAAACGGCGAATTTGCAAAACTCTTAAGGATTCTGGTCGTAGTAGTAAAATAATGTCGTCGTTAATATGGCCTATTGCAAAGTTTGTTACAAATCTTTTAAGTGTTTTGTGTTTCTATGTGCTTTGCTTGCTTGCCAAAAAACACAGCACTGAAACAAATCAAGTAACAAGTAGTACAGGCAACTAATATGTACAAATATTTACATCATCTGTTAAATTATAGATTATCTACGGTTTCCGATCTACAAGAAAGGTTCTTTCATGAACAGCCATCCTAACTCCATCAAAAAGACTTGCGTGTTTTCCGGCATTGCCTGTAAACACCTGGATGAACATCATCTTTCCAAGGAACTTTCCCCGAAGAGCTCTTTTGGGACTTGGTCGAGGTCATTAATTCACTCACCGAAGTAACCTTGACAGCTGGCATAACTGTAATTTCACATAACTCCAGGCATGTATCTTGAAGTCTAAGACTACAAAGAAAAAAAAAGTCAGCTCCAACTGTCATGCAAACAAAAAAATCTTTAAACAGTACATTATAATTTAACAACTGACCTGCAAAATTGGAAATTATACAATACGATTTAAACGTAATGTACACGCTCTATTACACTCCATAACACGGGAACTTATTATTTTAAGGCCCTTCTGGGGACGCAGGGTGGAGTGAGAAAAGGGAGATTAGAGAGATTAAGATTCACGTTTACGCCAAACGGCAAACGTGACTTTGTACCACGTGACCAAGTTTTTCCCCTTATTTTCCCTTTACTGTTTATTGTTTCCACACAAAAATAAGTAGTTTTATGCCAGCTTTATCCATAAGAATCGCTCTGGACTGTTTTTATCTGCTTATTTTCTATTCTGAGAAATTCTCAACTGACGTTTGCCGTTTGCCGTATGCCGTAAACGTGAATCTTAATCTCTCTAATATCTCAAATACAACAGAAGTCAATCGTGGGGCAGCCGAGCAGGTTCCGCTGTATTTACTTGTTTTCCGGAAAAAGATCTTGATGAAAAAAATTTACTGCGACTCTTCAATTTGGCCTTTTTCTCAGCAAGGAAATCCCCTGACCGTTGCTGTTGTTGTAGTTGATATCTGTTCGACAGACCATCAAAAGAATCAGACACCCTGTTTAGGACAGACTCGAGCGAAATTATATACCCTGTTTAGGACAAGGAGGACACAACCATACCCTGTCTAGTGGCACATCTCCATATAGGCCATATAAGGGAGTCGCTTACGCACCTTTACGCTCTTGAGTTTCTTGTCTGTGTCCAAACAATGCATCTTGTGAACACACACTGGGCCTGATATGTTAGGCTTCTTATCAGAACCTGGAAGCTCAATGAGGCTTTGCCACTTGTGTGAACTCTTGGATGCATCAGTTTTAGCTCTCTGCAAAAAGGATTAAATAAACGCAGACTGTTTTAACACGTGAAATATGATCGTAGTTATGTATGCAACTTAAAACGGGCTATGCCAAGTTATTTCCATCCTTTTTTTAAATTTGCTAATACGTCCAGTTTTGATTTTAAGACTACATTCAGGTACTGAAATTGTTTCCTGTCGTCTGTTGCAATGGATGACAAGGATAGACATAGATAGCCTGACAAAAAAGTCGCACTGGTTTCCCTGCGAAATGATGTCTGAGGATTCGTACTGATGACGTGTCACTACCGAGATCTGAGTGGTGCTTCTGATTGGTCGGTCCGCGTAGGAAATTTCTTTCAACCAATCAGAAGTACTATCCAGATATGGGTAGTTACACGTCATCAGTATGGAATTTCTGCACTCGTTCCTCAGACGTCATTTGGCGGAGAAACCAGTGGTGGCATCGCGAAATGTCGGCAGTTTTCTCACGCTACGACAGAGATTGAAAACTTGACAAAATTGGGCCAATGGTTTTTCTAGTTTTAATGCTAGGCCTGCAAAAATCATCAAAAAATTTTAATGGTAAGTCCTTCCTGATTTAATTCATTTGATATCTTCTTCAGAACTCAAAAGGCTGAATTTTTTTTGACGCGGACGGCAACGAGAACGTCAAAAAAACAATAGGTTTTATAAGCAAAACAACAACCTTGCACTTGCATCATGTGAAACATGTTGTACATGTCTTTGCCTGTTTTCGCACGACTGCGACGAGAAAATGTCTAATTTCGCGTTTTATAGAGGACATAAACAAGCAACGCCGAAATTTTATTTCCCTTTTTGAACTTGGATAAGGTCCCTAGGAATTCACTTACAGGTTGGGTTCGCCTAGATTTGGCAAAGTAAGTTGGTAGAAATAATTGCGATAAAAACTGAAAGAACGCAAATTCACTTTTAAGCGACGTTCTTGTTCCCGTCGTGTCGTTGGATCTTAAAGTACCTATTAAAATAAAATACCCAACAACAGAAATCAAGGATAAATTAGAAAATAGGAAGATTTAGTGGTCAGAACAAAAAAGTCATGAGAAAAAAGGACTTACTTCGAAATCTTACGCGTCCAAACTTACCCTTCTTGAAAATCCAGACGGTTGTTTAGCACCAATGAGAGGTTCTGATCGTCGCTTTAACATTTTCTAAAGCAAAATCGAGTGAGCCTGAATTAAAATAAAACCTTCTTTATACAAGAGATATATGGTCTTGTATGAGTCTCATTTTTGTCAGAGAAAGAAGAGAGAGGGAATACACAAGTACACAAGAAAATTGCCTTGCACGAGAAAGTTAACATGCAGAGGGTAGAGTTTTGCATCATGAGAGCCTTGGACAATGAAGGAACATCCAGCCTTATCAGTGCGCATTCTGTGAAAACTGGATGATTTTCCAGCCTTATCAGTGGAATACCTATGATTGCTATGAAAACCTAGTAAAAATCCAGCCTTATCAGTGGGCTACCTTTCAGTTGTTTGTTGCTATGGAAACTGAATAAAGGCCCACCCTCATAGTGAGCTAACTGTAGGTTTTTAGTTGCTACAGAAACTGAATGAAGATACAGACTTATATGTAAGCTAACTGCGGTTTGTGAGACGCTATGGAAACTGAATGAAGATCTAGCCTTAATATCAGTGGGCCACCTGTGGTTGTTTTTTGCTATGGACGCTGTATGAAGAGTCAACCTCATCAGTGGAACATCTGCAAGTTATGTCAGTGTTGCCATGGAAAATGGATAACAAGATCCAGCCTTATCAATGGGTTATCTGTTAGTGGCTGTATTTACAGCCATGCTAATCTAATATGTAAGGGTTGTGTGTATCGCCTTTCCATAAACCTCAAACTGAAGCATTTAAGGTAACATAACCAGGGATCCATATTACCGCTGAACCTCGATTTAACGAACTCCTAAATAACGAAGTCCTCGGTATAACAAACGATTTTCTTCAGCCCGGCCGAAATTACAGTAAAATGTATGGAACAGAACCTCGATTTCACGAAATCCTCGTTATAACGAACACAATCCACAAGCGCAAACGTTAAATTTACTGCGATATAACGAATAAACGTCAGCATGTGATAAAAAATAAATGCCAAACAGATCAACAAGGATAAAATTTATCTGCACAGTAGTTTAAAGCAGTTTTGTTTGCCTGTTCTGAGTTTCTAGTGTCGTATACCTATGTATAGCTCCGTCCTGAAACGTTATAAAAGTAATTTTCAGACCCGGAAATGCTGGGTTTTGTAAATCAATTATTAACTATACCTCGAAATAACGAACATTTTGGTAGTTTGCCCGAAAATTCATTAAATGGAGGTGTTCCCAGCCCCCTGGCACTGCGTTGAATCGAGGCTCCACTGTAGCAGTCAATCATCTGGTCGGACGAGTATAACGACACAAAAACGTGCCCAACAGACAACTAACTTTTGAGACTGTACCTGTTGTTTGACATTCAAGTCTCACCCGTGGCTTAACTTTCCATTAACTACAAGCTGCAAACTAGACTGTAGTATACAAAGCTTTATCGCTGGATTGTGCCATTTTATGCAACACAATATATGTCCCCACACAACCCATATCTGCCTTAAAATCAGTACGCTCAACCTCTGTGCACTGTGGAAACTTGGCAGATGTGACAGACGTGACAAACGTGTGTTTTTCGGATGCTTTTCTTTTTTGGGAGTTTCTAATGTACAAGTTATAAAATGTGCCCCTATTATGACAACGTGTTGCAAACAGCGGAAAAAGAAAGAAAAAGGACGTTTCATCAAATAATTAGGACTAAGAGCAAGAACATTGAAAGCACACATTTTTATCGTCTTAGTAGAAAAAGCGGCAATGACTGAAATATACTGAAGCAAATGTTATCATGCTCTGCTAAGTTTGTCAAGAAGCTTCCAAACTCAGCCGAAGTGGAGGCCAAATATGACATTAGCATTGAAGATGCAATAGACATGGACAGACAGAGTGATGTTTGAAGAAATTAGACCCTAGAGATAGATAGGTGATCAGGAAGTTTTCGTGTAATTTATCACTATGAATTCCGGTGTTAAAAACGTGCTTGTGGACTAATGAATAATCACTTAATTTCCATTTACATCTATAATGCAATACAATATAATAGTAGTTTGAGGGGACTACGGCAAAAATAAATAATTTTAGCTAGGGCAAGTATGCTTTTGACATACTCTACTTGCTCGGTTGAAGACTTGGAAAAAAATACTAAATAAAAGATAGATCCCTGAGTATCTTAAGGCAATACACTTGAGATATTTTACTTAAACCAGACGTAACTAATCGATGATGAATGACATCAATGTGTAATCGATGAGTAATTGATGCGTTCGATTACTCATCGATTATCTAATGATTATCCAGCGATTTCACATCTCATACAATTTCTACATAGTTCTTGACGATAATATTAGCCAAATAGGAATTGAACTTGCATGTAGAAAACCAATGTATAAAGGCCACGGCGAAAACAAAAACGGCAAATCAAATTTATTTATTGGACAGTTAGTCTGAATTTCATCCGAGTACTTATGTCTGGCTTATACAAGAATGGTTTTGTACATGTAATTCCAGTCCAAGGTCATCAATGAAACTAACTTGATTTTTTCCTTGATGAAGCAAGCTTGACAGCAGCTTTTCAACTCCTTGAACTTGCTCTTTTTGTGCTCTACTCCACTTTTCTAACTCTTCCACTTGAGCAACTTGTGGCTTATCTAAATGTTCCTTTAAATGATGAAGCATGTCAATTTTGGGTACAAGTATTTTGTTCTCTTGTCCTTTCAATTCTCTTGTAAATTCATAAAGCTGCTTAATACACAGGAAGTTGTCTTCTCCTAGACAGGGAACCTCTCCAATCATCTGGATAAGAGCGTTGTAGAAATCTTGAAAGAACGTGTGTTGTTCCTCACATGAATTTAACAAGTGTATTACATCTTGTGCAGACATTTTCCCATCATTTAGATCCTTTTTTGATGGTACTGTAACCTTAATAGGGTCACAAGTCCCAGCACAACTTTCTGCATCACTGCAATCCAGCTTTACTCGCTTCAGCTGCTGTCTTAGTTCTTGAACCTCTGAAGAAATGCGCTTCAAGCTTTCTTGACGTCTTTGCTCCACTGATTTGCCCATTCCCTTGGCTGCTTCAGATACTGTCTCTAAGAAGTCCTTATTCTTTTGTATCTAGAAGAAAAATACTATCCATCACTGTTTGAACATCGATGCTTTCGGACCCTGGACCATTGTTAACACCAAAAAGGTTAGTGGAGATAAGCAAAGAAAAAACTTACTCAAAACAAGTACTATATAGTCAACACTTTCGTAAGCGACCATCCTTGGTGCTCAACAAAGTGATCGTTTACAGGAGGTAGTCGTCTATTAGGACAATAAGCTCAAACTCAACAACAACTGGCAATAATGTTTCACATTGAATAGAGATTGGAACTGCATGCTTGTTGAAACTTTGAACATAACATTTTGCATCAATGTAACAATATATCCCCTTTTAGCCTAAAGATCGTATTACAGCCTTCTTTGTTGTGAGTCAACTGCCATAATCTGTAGGCATACTTGTTCAGTGCTATAAAAAACTGAACTTTTGTGACATTGGAGAAATGGTTTTCTAATAATCTTCAGTGAACATTCAGGTGGTTGCTTACGGGAAACAAAAAACAAAAGAGTATGTCGAATTTGCTGGTTTAAAAAGTGGTCAAAGCCAGTTAAGAAATTTTGAGCAGTCGCTTATGAGAGATTTTTTTTTGGTGTGTTTTTCTTTTGTGTTTTACAAAGTCTCAGGTCAAATAAAAAAACAAAGGGGGAAGAGGCGAGAAGTGTCTTTTTCCTCTTGCCCCTCCCCGATCATTTTCTTGCTTGACCTCAGCTAGCTTTTGTGAGGTCATGTCTCTTACTTTCTCAAACGAAAAACACATAAAAAAACTGCCTGCTACACAGAGTAGTGCTTTGACTGCTATGACAACTAATTATGCTGCCCTCTAAGAAATTATTCTAACAAGGTAACTCGCATATTTCAACAAAAATCCCTACTTACCTCTTCAGAATTCCAATGTCTTTCAGAGTTGTTAATAGCTTTGATAATAAATTTATTTCCATGAGTATCCTCACACAACATGAGCTGTAAAGAAAGTAATAGAGTGTATAACAACAATTCACTGTTTTTGTGAATAAGATCATTATTATTATTATTATTATTATTATTATTATTATTATCGTTATTATAATGATGATCTTATCTACAAAAACAGTCAATGTTATAGTACTTTGAAACTTGATCTGATAGGTAAAAAGTGATGCATAACTACTCTAGCACTGTTAGTTTCTCAGCACTTTCAACATAGAAATCTACAGTCGTTTGGTTGGTATACATGCAGCCTATTGGCCAAGTTATCACTAATTTACAAATAAAAATAAATAATCAGTAGATACATGTAATCAATTAGGGGACAGAAGGAAAATTGTTTTTGCAACTGTTTATTAGTAGGATGCCTGAAGTGTGTCCAATGCCAATTCCACAATTAATTTCGGCTCCATTTTAATAATCCTGTACTATTATTATTGTTGAACATTTTAGGGAGGGCCAACCACAATGTGGGCACTAATTTACTGACCAGGTATATGAGTATGATAACAGCCCAAAGAAAATGTAATACATTAAATAAAACATGTTAGCCTAGTAACAGGCACAATGAAACCTACTGCTGTGTGGTTCTAGTTCTGGAAAATTTCACAGGACAGGAATTTCAACGGGGGAAAAATTTGATGGTCAAATTTTGGAAATTTTGCCTGGAGCTAACCAAACTGGAATTTCCAGAAGGATGAGGGAGCCCAAAACTGTAAAAGCCTTTGTGGGATGAGTACAGAAGGTTTCTGCAACAACACATTAAGGATTAAAAAATAATAATGATCACAAAGTTTTGACAGGTTTATATGGCACAGATGGAAAATGAATATTAGCCTAAAAAGCAGAGTACTAGTGAAAAATTTTGCATAATGGTAATGGTACAAAAAAGACAATCCTTATATCTACAGAACAAAAATAATACCGGTAGGTGCACCCATAAAATAGGCTTCTATACAATACACCTGTAGGTTTGTCTTAAGTGATTGCTTAAAAGTGGGATTCAAAAACCTATTTTTTTAGGTGGCTCATTACATAATTTAGGCAAAGTTAAATTGCAAGCCAATGCAGTGTGGTCTCCCCCTCAAGCATACGTGATCTGTAAGTGATCTGTGAGGACAGGGGCCTTTCATAATCCTGTGACTTACATTGCATTTCATGCTGGCATTTTGAGCTGATCTCTGCAGATCTGGTGTTAACGTAAATCTTTGCGGATTCTGGCTCCTGCAGCCCTCCCCCCCCCCTTTTTGGGTTTGTGCGTTGGTAAGTATGGGTTCAGGTGAGCATTTTACACTGAATTTCTTCAGTGTGACAGTGCCAGTTGGTGGCTGCATGCAGAAGTGGTTCCCATTTGCAGGGTTGCTATGGATACCAGTGGCAGACCTTGAGAAAATGAGGGGGGGGGGGGGGGTCTGCAAAAAAATTTTTTTCAGCCCTTTGCCTGGATCCGCCACTGGATACCTCCTTGCTATGAATGGGGTCCTCAGGCTCCCGTCCAACCTTTAAGGAACCAGTTCCCAAGCTCGTCACTATTGGTGATGAGTTTAACTGATAAATGTATCAATGTTTTCGCCAAAGTCCAAAACAACCTCCAAAAGTGTACATTTTTTGGAGCATCAGAACAAATTTAAATATGGTCAACGACTCCTTTAAGGTTGATTTCCACTCTTGTGAAATTTTCATGTGCATACACACGTAAATTTTAAGCTCATAAATAGAATAAAGGTGATGTACGGAGGGTCACGAGTAAACATAAAATTAAGTTCAACCTCGCTCATCCTTTACATTTACCCACAGCTATTCATAGATAAACTGTATTTTATTTACGGCATAAAATTTACTAGCCTGAGAAAACAGCCGACATTTGGCGATGCTACCACTGGTTTCGATTCCCCGCTAAATGATGTCCGAGAAACAAGCCTAGAAATTCCATACTAATGACATGATGAGTCACTGCCCAGATCTGGGAAGTGCTTTGGATTGGTCGCGCCGCATGGGAAATTGATTTGATTGGTGGTTTAATTTGGAATCTACCTTGCTTTTTCGTGAATTCTACAAACTTCAAGGCAAGATCAATCTTTTCTTTCCTAAATCTTTTGTACATCAGAGGCTGATTCACTATTCCTGGAGTTTTTGTGATGCCTGATGTGTAAATGGCATATTATTCTATCATATTGCTGCTGGCACAAATCTTAAAAATGAAACTAATCAATCAAATGAAGTGAGTCATACCTGGCACAAAAGAAGTGAAACGAGTCATTTTACTCAATCAAAAGTAACGATTTCTCATACTAAGTCATGCAAATGAAATCAGTTGACCAAATGAAACGAGTTGTTGTACTCGCTGGCCATTGAGCACAATGGCCCCTTGTGGTCACGCATGTACCAGTTAAACGGAGTCATTGCACTCGCACTCTGACCCATTGCGGTCACAAAGCAAGTAAACTGAGTCAGTGTACTAGGTGGCCATTGAGCCAAACAAATGTTGCTGTATTAGACACAGTTACCTTCGCTGTTGAATCAGAAAACGGAGCTTCATTAGAGAATTACTGCTAGTTTTATGCAATAAACTGCGCACTGGCCGCATATACCAGTAGTTTAAGTTTAATGATACTTTTTACCAATGCACAACAAAAAAAAATATTACACACCTACATATCAAAGTACAGTTGGTAAAGGAAAGCAATGGGGGGAAACTGAATTCCAATATAAAAACTGCTCTCCAAAAATAAAAGATAAAACAATAAAGAATAGAATATCTAATATGTAACTATACATTGTATAAAAAAGACTAATTAAACTACTTAGATACTAAATAATAATAAAAAAGAAAATCCAAAATCAGTAAGAAACAATAAAATATGGCTATTTACAAAGATAATTAATAAAATTTTAAAAGAGTTCAAGCTGGAAGCAGACGTGATGAAGTCTGGTAAAGAGTTCCAGTCATTAATGTAACAATTAAAAAATGAAAATTTAAAATAGTTTGTCCTTGCTGCTCTAGGCCTGATTTTAAAGTCACGGTTACTCCTAGTCCTTGTCAGGCCAGTCAGATCCCCTTAAGTGGTATAGTCAATATCAGAATAGCCATGAATTATCTTGTAAACTTGAACCATGCAAGCCAAGGTATTTCCTTCTAAGCTCCAATGTTGACCAGTTAAGTTCAGTGAGCATTTCAGAGTAATGTTTATCAGATCCACATATCAATCAAGTAGCACCACGCTGGATGGATTCAATACTGTGTATGTGTTTAACCAAATATGGATTCCACACTGGACAGGCATATTCCAGAATAGGGTGAACTAAAGCATTAAAAGCTGCTTTGATTGTCACAGGATCCTCCTTATTAGGCCCAACACTCGATTTGCCTTACCAACAATGAAATTGATATGATAGTCCCAGTGCTTATGTTTATCAACAGCTGACAGATTATTCTCATTTATCACATACTGATGAACTAAAGGACGTTTAGACTTTGTAACATGTAGGGCCTTACACTTTTCAGACTTTAGCGTGACCTTCCACAAGTCGCACCAGGAGGTGGCAGACAAGAGGTCATCCTGAAACTCAACACAATCATCTTCAGATGTGATCTTATGATAGAGTACACTGTCATCAGCTAAAAGCTCTGTGCAACAGCTTACACTTAGGGGGGAGTCATTTATTTACAGCAGGAAAAGAAGTGGCCCTAATATACTCCCTTGAGGAACACCAGAGGACACCTCCATCCATTCTGATGAATGGCCTTCAAAAACGACTCTTTATGTACGGTCTAAGAGATAATCATGAAACCGGGAAAATAAATGACCCTGAATGCCATAACACTGCAACTTGTAAAGTAAGTGATGATGAGAAACCATGTCGAAGGCCTTTGAAAATCCAGAAAGACCATGTGGACTGAGTCACCTTTCTCAAGAGAACTGTACCTGCATGAGTGTAGCAGCTAAAGAAGTTGAGTGACACATGAATGAGCTTTTTTGATCTCTAAAACCATGCTGGCTCTCACTCAGCAGCAGACCAGTAGTGTGAAGCCTCGCCTTTTGCGCTGGAGAAAGGTTCAAATCCCAGCAAGGAAACTTGAGGGTTTTTTTTTTCTTTTTTTTTAAATTTAATTTTTTATTTCATCGTATTTTTACCCTCTGGCTTGTTTCCCTTTATTCTCACTGCTGACCCTTTTTAGCTTTGCGAGATTTTTGCTATAATGTATTTCTAGTTATTTACTATCCATGGAACATCCCTGCTATCTGTCAATTCAAGTCTTTTTAACCAGCATTTTATTTAAGAAAATCTGTGATGGATCTTTCCCATCAGTATGAGTCAATAGGCATCTCTTTATCTCTTTATATGCATGCAAGAGGGCTAAGGATGTTAGTGTATCTGGCAGCAACAAGGATCGCATGTACATTCTTACCCTCCTTATGGTAAATAATAATCTTTGGCTTTGCAAGCTTTGGCTTCACAAGCATCTCATTAAACTCTAAAAATATACAGAAAAAATACACAGAAAAATACATAGCCTTTTGAAGGTTACATACCGTCTGAGTGGAAATTAGCCAATGTAGTGCCTGTCTATAAGAAGGATGAAAAAGATCATGTTGAAAACTATAGGCCTATCTCCCTACTTTGCATTACTTCTAAAGACCTCGAACATTGTGTCTTGAACCGCATCAATGACCGATTAGAAGATCTGGTTTCAGAGTGGACGTTCATGTGTCACAAATCTACTGAAGACCCTAGATTACATCGGTGATATTCTTGATAGAGCTGGTCAAGTAGATTGTGTGTATTTAGACATGTCCAAAGCCTTTGATAAGGTTAGACATGACCTCCTTATCGAAAAACTGCGGGATGCTGGCTTTGGAGGGAACCTGCTCACGTCACGTGACCCACCTGTCACGTGACCCACCTGTCACCTCTGGAGTCCCACAGGAATCAATACTCGGACCTGCTCTCTTCTTGATATATGTGAACAACCTTCCAGATTCTATCCTCAATAGCAAAGTGGCAATGTTTGCAGATGACACTAAAGTATACGAGGTAGTGATGTCTGAGGATGATGGTGCCGCTCTCCAACAAGATCTGGATAATCTGTCTTCATGGTCCGCTGCCTCTGGCCTAGCCTTCAATGATGAGAAATGCAAGCTTCAGACCATTAGGAGGAAGCGCAAGCCCATTTGTACGAGCTACGAGGTTAACAGCAGTACCATCAAGTCCTGTGAGGTAGAGCGTGACCTTGGCGTCTCCTTGGACTGTGACACGCCCAACTCTCACACCAAGCTGCACGCGCAAACTAACCTGTTCCAGGCGTTCAGATAGTGGGGAGCAGTGCAAACTAACAAAAAGCGCGAAAAAATAAAAGCGAGGGAGGAGGAGAGGTTCATCGCTTTCTTTACTCCGCACCGCTCTCCACTATCTGCATGCTTGGAACAGGCTACGCGCAAACATGTTGTTAGGTTTCGTTTGGAGGAACTCTAGCTTTATTCACAGTACTTCTGTAAGGCGAACATTAATTCTCAGGCTATTTCGTGCTCATCTTGGCTATGCAACCCAGGTCTGGGCACCCCAAGGCATTGAACTAATTTCTAAACTTGAGGGTATCCAAAGACATACCACCAAATTGATTCTTTGCTTGCCTTTTTTAACAATATCTCTTACAAAGAAAGACTAATGTCTGTGAACCTACTTCCTGTTTGCTACTGGCACGAGTCACTAGATCTAGTATTATTATTACTTTTACAAGGCTATGCATAATATGATTCACTTAGATCCATCTGTTGTTCCCTTTGTGTGTGAATGTGCGCAAAGGACCCGTATATCTGTAATGAGCTCTCAATCTTTTGTGCCCAAAAAATGCAGGACTTCTACCTTTCAGAAATCTTTTTTCATTAGAACCACTAGAATCTGGAACCTGCTTATTACTAGACTCGACCTATATAATGTTACTTTTGAGAACTTTCAATCTGTTCTTTACGGTTATTACTCACGGGCTCTAGCGATAAACTATGACCCGGACTCTCCAAGGAGCTTCAAAAGTATTTGCTTGAAATGTAACACAGCCAGGTTTTTAGACCAAGAAATTAGCTGCTGCATGTGATTTAAATTGCTACATTTATATCCTTTTATTTTTTGGGTCTGCAGTAATTGTTAGCTGTTGCGGTGTCCCTGCCCAAATATTTAAGTTATTATTAGTGTATTGTTATGTTCTTATTTATACTAGTGTTTGTATATCTACAGTGTTTTTTTTTCCTCTGTATTATTCAGGGCAAAGCTAATAAAATAAAATAAATAAAAATAATAGCAGAGGCCTGGTATAAACTTCTAAGAAAGGGGGCCTGGGGGTTGCTTATAGCAAAACAGCAAGACCATGGAACATTAGTTCAAGCAATTTACTGTAAGTAGAGATTCAGACTGGGTAAAGTATGGTGCTCGATCTCTGCCAATAGCGAAAGGTGCATGTTGCCAAAAGCAGACTCTTGGTTCTAGAATTGTCCGTTTTTAGCTCGATCAAGAAGTACATGTAAATCTTTTATAAAAAAGAAGAGCACTTTTTTGGCTGAATTCCTGTTAAGCACAGGCTTATATCAACAATTAGTTCATGCGTCAGTGTGCGTATGTCAAGATATTGAGCACATGGGAAGTTTAATTTGGAGCACAAAAAAGGCGTAAAAGTGCTTGAGTGCTCTCCAAACTTCCCAAGTGCTCAATATCTCAACATACGCACAACTGAAGCATGAACTAATTGTTTTATAACATTAACAAAGCGATCAATGCAGCAGTAACTTAAACTTTTTATTGTAGCGTCCGCTCAAAGCAGTATGCGTCAATGTCTATGTGACTATACATGTATCTTTTTACCTCATAGTTATGTTTTAATGTCTATAGAACTGAGAGAAAGTTTACTCAAGTTGCTTAACCCATTCGCTCCTGGAGATTTTGCCGAAAAACGCGTTTTGAAGCTAGTCGAGTGGTTTTCTGGTCACTGTCGTGCTATAAAGAGCTAAAACTTACCAGAAACCGGTTTACAGGTCGTACACTTGGCGGCCTTCTGATCCAGATGCAAAATATCAGCTTGCGAAGTTCGGGCATGCGCAGAAAGCAAAATTTCGACATAGTTTTTGGGTTTAAAAGTGACACAGCAGTCTTGACTTTTACTTTTCGCTTTCTCTCCTCCCTTCTTTTTTCGCTTTTCTTGCCTCATTATTTTTTTTCTCTTGCTGGGCATTTAGTAGGCTTCATTTTGGTGGGAAGAGTTTTTAGGAAAGCTTTTAGGATCTTAGGATTAGGTGAAAGGAAAGGTAGGTGGCTAATGGAACAAGATTTTCATGGAGATTTTCAGGTCCTTGTCACGTGGTTTTTTGCTTCTTTCTCCGGTGTCCTTGACTGAATTGTGCTCATTCTGGTATGGTTCGAAAGATCTCTTCACTCTGCACACGTGTGCGAAGAAAGTTGTCCTTGACCGTTAAAACTGATGACGTCACAAAGGGTAGAAAGGACCTGGATCCGCACGGGCGGTTACGGGCGGTTCAGGGGCGAATGGGTTAAGATAACATTCAAAAAGACTATAAAACCCATAATGAGGTGCCGGAAAACTATTAATTCACCGAAAATTCTTTTTGTAAGAAGTAACTTTGCAAAGAATGATTTGCACACACCATAGCCCGCACAGCTCGCCTAGATGACAACAACAACAACACCCACCTCTTTCCCCTACTATCGGTTAACAAATTCAAAAGTTTTCTCTTAAATTTACGTTATAAAACACATGGTTAACGCTTCATCATGTACTGTTGAGTTACGGATTCACTTGGAAGACGTCTTGGGAGGATTACTAAGCTCACAAGAACTTGAGGTTAGTTCATTGATGTCATCAGCATGTTCAATGGGAATATGAAGCATGCTTGCACTATTGAATTTCATTAGGCGAATATTCTAGCTATGTTATCAAAGGTAGTTATGCCCCCGCTGCTCTATTGATAAATAGCATGGATAGGCTACAATTCTATTTCAGATTGTGACTAGGACTAGGAGACACTTTGAGTGTGTATTTTACCATAGCACAGTGACCTGTACTCTAACCTCCACCTGTGAGCTGCATTTTGTACCTGCTGATTTTTATGGCGCTGTCCATTATCTCTTAGCAGCAGTTTATTCTGATTATGATGAAAACATTGATTATCTCCCTTGTAGAACCAAACATATGCAAAACCTATGCTCATGCTATTTGTTTACTATGTTGGACTATGTTTCAGCTATGTTATGTTCATTACTGCCTATGTATTACCGTATTTATTCGAATAAGCGCCCAACCTCGAATTAGCGCCCACCTCGAATAAGCGCCATCCTAAAGGCAGAAAAAGTTAATAAGCGCCCACCCCCTCCTCCTCCCAATCAAACTCAAATAAGCGCTCACCCCCACCCCACCCACTTGAGTGAATAAATTTTAATGAGAGACTTCCCCGAGGACGGAGTTTTCTTCAGAGTATTTTACAGAAGCCTTGCTTTGTTACTTCTTCGCGTTTTGTTATTAGCATTTATTGTTTTGTTGCAAAATAAACATACTTCACTTGCTGAAAATGGTGAAAATTTAATAAGCGCCCAGCCTCGAATAAGCGCCCACCTCGAATAAGCGCCCACTCTCAAGGTCCAAAAATTTAATAAGCGCCCAGGGCGGTTAATCGAATAATACGGTAACTATGTAACACACCGAACAACATAGTCCAAAGTATGCAAAATCTATGTTGAAACTATGTTTAGGCTATTTGAAAAGCACATAGCTTTTGAATACCTATGCAAATACTATTCAAAATCTTTTCATAGTCTTGACATAGCTATGTATTTACTATGCAATAGAAAGTTCTGCTTTTCCTTCCGATTAACATCCTATGTATTCACTATGCATCAAAGTAAAATAGCCTTTACATAGCATCTCGATCTTCACTTTTATTTCCAACAAGTTTCTTAGCTTTTACATAGTGCTATGTATATTCTATGCTATGTGATGAAACATATTTGCAGCCTATGTATTCACTATGTGACATTTTCATTTAGCTTTATCATGAGATAAAGGCTACATAGCTTTTACATAAACATATTTTTTCCTATGTCACTCATATGAAAAATATATGTAGTCTATGCGTTTCCTATGTGATATTCGAACATAGCTTTTAAGTGACTAGGCATGTTGATGGTAGAGCTTACAGAAGGCTAAGCATACTTCCAAAGTAAAAAGCAGTGTTTTAAACTAAAACACTGAAAAATCATATACTATAATTTTTTTTGTGCTTGCAGATAGTTTCTTAGTGAGAAGATTTTTGTTAAGAAATGATACCTCCATGCATCATTTTCTTCTTATACATTGGGTTCGATCTTTCGTCTTGATTGTGGACGTCTCCTGAATATAACTGCATGGTCAAAACTGCGAAACGCTACCTGCAGTCCTTGGAAAAGTCCTCGGTGGGTGTTTGTCAGCCATTTTGTTTCCACTAGTTCCCAGGGAAGCCCGTGAGTTCAACAAATGCGTATTTTGCGTTTTATCGTCACGTGGGCCTTTTAAACCAATGAAAAGGTGTGAAAATTGTCTGCTTCTACGCGGGCGCTTTCAAGTCAAAGAAGACGAGCTGTAAGCGTGCGTTTTTACAAGACGCTTCTTTTTACTTCAATTTCCAGTCTTTTTCCTGCCAGGTTCAACAAAAAGTATTCCTAACGTTGGTAAGTGATGTTTTTCTCAATTACGTTTCGATTTGCCTGTGTTGTCTCCCCTTTTCGCGTATCTGAACAAGGATCGGTCACCTTCGATCACGCTTTGATACTCCTTCGTTTCAATTCTAAAACGTCAGGTTGTTTTTATGTTCATTTGCCTTAAAATCTCCACTTTTCTGTTTGCAGATACTTATTCGTTGCAGTCAAAAGGAAACTGTATGGCACTGAAGAGCACGACATCAGCAAAAAGTCTACACGATAAGCAAATTAAGCAAACTTTAACTTGGGGTTTCGATTCTGAAACCTCCATGAAAATACTGCATTTGTGTTACTATTAGTGTTCGTGGTATTATATTGTCATAGTTTTTCAATTTTTCGGTTCAAAACCTATTTCTTACCAATTTGTAAAAGGTATTCTAATTCATATGTTTATACTATTTTCACTATTTTGGTGATTTTTACGAACGTATTTTAAACACTACATTTGCTTAAGCAGATCGAAACCTACATACATAAGAGACTATGTCAATTCTATGTAATTTCTGTTTGAACTCTAGTTAAAGCCTGTGTATGTGATATGTTTTACCTATTCAAATACTATTAAAATCCTATTTCAAACCTATGCAAAGACTATTTGTTCTGTGTTTTCCCTATTTTAATGCTATGCAAAGTATATGTCACCTTTAAAAAGGCTATGTTTTTCATATGTTTTTACTGTTTTTAGGCTATCTAAATTCTAAGCAAACCCTATTCAAAAGCTATTTAATCAACTGTTCCCTGTTCCATTTTACTATGTAAACTCTATTTCAGTCCTATGTGAAGGCTATTTATTTTCTATGATTTTTCTATGAGGTTGACTATGAAGTCTAAAATCTCTTTCCACAAGCTAAGTAAACTGTATGTATAGGCTATGTGGAAACTATGTCATTTCCTCCTTTATTCCTACCTTTAAAAACTACATAGCTTTTAAGTAGGTTCCGTTTGACTAGCGAAAACATAGCATTTTCGATACAAAAAACATAGTCCTGGCATAGAAACAACATAGGATCTGGTTAAAGCAATGTATGACTGATTAACATAAGTTTTACATAGCTTTGTGACATAGCATTTGCATAGATTTTACATAGTGTCTGATTCTACAAGGGCTGTCAGCTCTATGTTTTTGGTAACTTGATCACTCTTGCTAGGAGTCAGGGACTCTTGCTGAATTGCCAAGAAATTGCCTGAATAATTTACATGTCCAAAAAATACTGCAGAACAAACAGCACAGATCGAATTTTGGCATTTTACATTGCATTTCAGTCGCGTCGATAATATAACTTATACTTCATTTTTTTCACCAACAATAGTCTTCTCCATTATCCTATATTGTGGACAGAAGTGAATTAACGATCTTCAATCAATAATCAGAAAACTAAGAGGGAATAATTATTATAACTGTACAAAATATCATTCTATTATATTTTGTGCCCCTCCCCCCTGGTCCCTCCCCTGCTTGGACCCTGAAAGTGCTCAATAACCAAAAATAATAATACCCTCTACAGGAGCAGCACAGATGGTGTCTACAACAACGGTGTATGACATTTGCAGACTGCATGAGGCAGCAAGACTGTAAATTGAATGAAACCAAAAATATTGTAATCAAGGTGGCGTCATCATCAACATTACCTTTTTCAAGAAGTACATGTAAGGCCTAGAAGTGAAGTTTTTTCACACAAATTACACCGACCTGATTCCTGAAGGAGTTGTTCGTTGGCTGTTCGTCTCGTATTGAATTAGAGCAGAATAATGTCTAGGCCGATGTCACAAACTCGCTCATGAATCCATAGCAACAGGCTAGCAATTTAGCCTGCACCACAGACGAAACTAAACTCTGGTTATATAAGTCTGTCCGTGAAACAGCGCTGGAATCCTTATTCTATGGGGGCCCCAACTGTGTACTAGGATTTGAGCATGAGCAATGATTGGCCTGTTAAAAAAGCCATTGTCGATTTGCCTATTTAGAAATTCAAAATGCACTTCTGGTAATTCGTCGAGTCCAGGTAAGATCTGTTTGGTTTAGATTATTTGGTATATCCTTAAATACTGCTAAGATGAAATATTTAAAAGGTGTTAAATGTCCGTGATCTATCCTAGTTGTTTTTTGTAGACGTAACTGTAGTGAGCACAAAGTGCTCGCAATCTAAACACTTGTTTTTACAGAAGACTACCATTTCGACAGGCATTAATGGGCATTGCTACTTGTGATTATCAATTCACAATAATCAAAGAAGAATAAAGAATCAATGCAATTAGTGATATGCCGGGTGAGTCAATAAAGAGTCGCGTCGGTGAAGACTCAATAGCCAACAGCATCTTGGAAATAAGGCCAATGTAACTTCGTGCAAAAACATCAACCTTGTTCCCAGGCTACTTTCTCACTTTCACACAATGTTATATTTTTGATGGTGTCACCTTTATTAGGAAGATTTTTGGTGTCTTTTAATTTACAATCTGCAGTCTGTGGTCTGCAGTCTGCAGTCTGCAAATGTCATACACCGTGCAGCAAACAAGTCTCTTTTACAAGACAGAGAAAATTAAAGATCAAAAAATTAATTGGCTGTGTCTTTTTAGTATTACAGTACCTTCCCATCCATTTCAGCTTCTAAGTGGCACTTCACCATTAAACTGATGACTTCACCATCAGAAACCGTTTCACATCTTGGTAGCAAATCGTTGCATTCTCCTAAATAAAGAAAACACTGCAATTGAAATTTATAAGTTCAACAATAATGTGGTAGAAAATGTAAAGTAGAAAGGCTCCTACCATGCAAGCACTGGTTTCTCCAGGCCAGATGCTATGCTATCGAAGGGAGAATTAGAGTAAAAACTGTGCGGAACTCGTACTCATAAGTATGTACTTTAAGATGAAATTATCAGCTGCCTGTCCAAGTCAAAATACCCTTCACATATTAATTATATATAACAAGTTCACTTTCTAAAAAAAATGGCACTCAGGGGGTTCTGCTTTTGTAATCTACCTGCAATATTTTTTGGTTACTCGTTTTGAGTTATTATACTAAAAAGGCAGGCTGTCTTTTGGCTTGTTTTTCATTTTGAAGCTCATAAAGTGAGACTCAAGAGTGTGAAACCGAGGTTTTCCACCTTCTTTAACCAACGAAACCAACAACACAAATGACAAGCAAAACATTGGAGTATTTTTCTAGTTTTTTTTTTGCAAATGTTCCTGTCAGTCTTTTTCTTTCCACGTTTTAAAGCTTTATACATTTAGCTGCACCTAGTCCATTCTTTGATAGTCCACGAGGTTAGTGGCACTTTATGTCAAAATTCTTTGAACGCAAGATACCGGTACTACATTGTACAGTGTAAACAAACATATAAAATCTGGAAAGAGTGTTGCAGTGATTGCAACACTTGAGTGGATGTTGTAACAAGTTTGGAAACAACTATTCAAACTGTTTAACCTGTTTGTCAATACTTTGAATGGATTTTTGAAATCATTCAAACTGATAAGTTATATCCCCTCAAAGACGATTATCATGCGTATGAGTTGCGCTTCGCTTCTCACGGCACCAGCCTGAAGACTGATTCATAGATAATTCGCATCCTCAATTTTGAGCCGAAAATTTAAGCAGACATGTGAGGCTTATATGCAAGATTTTACGGTGAACAACTTTTTATTCTAGGCATTTTAATACATTTTTTTTGTTTTAAAAGGCAATATTTCAACATTGCATTGATATTGCATTTTAAACCAAAGAAAAATATTAATGTATCAGCAAAGATAAAAAGGTGTGTCTAAAGATGTGAACATTGATTTTTAAGCAGTAAATAATTTATAATTTCTAAATGCTGCAAAAAAGGAAAATAGAAAATTCCAGGGGGGTGGGGGAAGGTTAGATAAGACCTCTCTAGGACAGAAATTCTGAAGGGTAGGGGGTTCTAACCTGCAGAAAGAAAATCCATTAGGGGAAGGGGGGGTATGGATATTTTCTGGAATGACATTCAAGTTTTATTTGCCCATGGCACTGGACCATGGCTCTAACAAAGAAGCAAACTGTTGCTCACAGTGCTTTCTTTCCCTACATACTGTAGTGTCCAGCCTAGAGTCTGAATTCACTGCTCACATGGTACAGATGTACATGACACAGACGTCCTAACTTTGAACTACTTAAGTTCATCAAATTGAAATTTAGGCCAAGATGTTTTCAATCTACCGTCATTTGGTTATTAACTTCCTTAATGTCTCCTTACATGATCATGGACAATAATAATTATTAAGGGCTAGAAGACAAAGAGAATTGATGACATTATTCATAATAGAGGATTGTTCGATACTGTTGACATGATACACATAGTATTCAGTTAATAAAATAATATTATTGGGGTCAGAAAGTCGATTGATCCCCTTGTACTATATATCAATTAATGCTTATTCCAATCATTATTCTCCTCATTGTGCTAAAAGAAATGAAAGGAACAATAAAGGAGAATTTTTATTTTGACATTGGGGGCTAAAGGAATGAATTATAGGGTTAGAAAGGAAATGGAAAAATTGGCAATTTTTCTTGTGATTGGGCTTTTTAATACAACATGTAATATGAATCATGTGTTCTCCACCTTTTCCAGTAAATAACATTAGGGACTTGTCAGAAATTAGGAGGGGGGATGGGGGGGGGGGACTGGAAACAGAGGGAGGGTCAACTTTTTGAGACTGCAGAAAAGGGAGGGGTCATGAAAAATGGGTCGTTAAAAGGGAGAGGGTCACGCAAATATGTGTCCGTGATCATGTAGAGGTTCACCCACAGAAGAAAAAAGACGTTCTCTATTTTTTGAAAAAAAAAACCTAGGAGAAATAGGAGAGTTGAGTGATCAGCTGTCAGAATCAGAGTCGGACTCTTAATGCTGTCATCTAAAATGTATGTATATGGCATTGCAAAGAACAGATTAGAAATATATTTTGAGCTTTCATAATACTGACTCACCCAAGTGTATTGCAAGAACTAGATTTTATCATTTATACAAGAGGAGGAGGGTCATGATATTCTAGGCCAAGGTCAAAGAGAGAGTTAGCAAATTTCACTCCCATTGCAGGGATGGGACACCTCATTTCTGAACCCAAGTTTAAAATTCCACCCCCTCCCCCCCCCCAACCCCTACTCATTTCTGACAAGTCCCTTATTAATTACTTTTTTTTACCCACCAAGCAGTTTTTCAGCAATGCTCTTTCTTCCTATACTCTCCAAAACATCTGCAAGTTGGCCCACTGTAGCATTACACCCCTCTTGCTGTTTCCACAAGTTCAAAAGAACATTTGCCTTGTCTCGATTACTTTTGTACTCTTCATCAAGATTATGAATCTTTGATGACGAGATGTGTAGCTTTGGTCCAACTTCACGCCAGCAAGTCCCTACATCATCACTGACGTCACAGAGCTGTAGTTCTGTAACCATAACATTTCTTGGATCTGTTGTTGTCTCTAAAATTAACAAAAAAAAAGGTTAAAGTTAATCAGTGCCTTTTTGAAAACCTCTTCTACATCTGGGCAATCTCTGGGCACTGCAATCCAACATTATAGCTACACCAACACAGATTAGCAACAGGACAAGGGTCTAGAAACTAAACAAGCTTTTGGGAAAAAATCTCCGAATTTTGAGATAATCTGGGCTGGTTCTACAATCTGGGCTGGGCTGGTTCTACAATCTTACATTAATCATCTATGACTAACATAAGAGCACAAAATTAACATAACATAACATAACATAAGTACGTATTTATTCAAGATGATAAACTAAAAATTATAAAACATCTTGAAAAGGAAAACTGGAGGTTGACCCTATGATGTTTCCCTAAATAAAAATATAAAAACAGATATAGTGCTATGTACAAAATAGAATATAAAATAGCCTTTTAAAAACTATTTATAAGAAATAAATTGGATCACTAAAGATCAATAATAACAATACACTGTACACAGACGAACAAAAAATAACAACTAATGAATATTTAGGAACGGCTTCAGCGCACCCTTAAAACGGCTCAGGTTCCCAGCGCAGCTAGCCTCAACAATAGATCCTGGTAGACTATTCCAGTCCCATATGATTCAGATACGAAAAGAAAATTGATTAGGATTACACTTTGCTGGCTTAACATAATAGCTTAGACAGATGGTTATAGCGTGGGTTGAATTGCACTTGGTATTAAAATTCAAAAGATCGTCAAAGTTTAGCTTGTTCATGCCAAAAATGATCTTATAGCATTCAACTAAAGAAAGAAACAATCTAAATGTTTCAACGGTAGGCCACATCAGCTTCCTTAAACGATCTTCGTATTCCATCTCACCACATTTTTGCCTGGGAGCCGAGAGGCTCTTTGCTGAACTCTTTCTAATGCTAGCACATGTTTAGCCAAATAAAAAGGATTCCAGGCTGGAGCAGCATATTCAAGCCAGCTGTGATTGACTTTCAAGATTACCAGTTTACTGATTTTTAATATTCTTTTATATTTATCTAGGCTGTTGGCTCAAGGATACTGCTTTAAATTGGCTGAATCAAAACAAAATTTTTTTTCTGCAATTCTACAGATGTATACAATAATGTTGAAAACAGTTCAAAATACAGTGTAGGGCAGTGTATTTCCTTACCAAAAGTTGCTATATCAAATACCTCTACCTGACACCCAGGGTACATTTCTAATGAGGCTGCAGTTTTTATGTAATGACACACAGGGATTACAAATACGCCAAATTTGGCGTATTTTACGCCAAGAATTCATCAATGACTCCAAAAAATTCCATTGGGGAGTCACTTTGACTCCGGAGAGGAATTCAGAAATGTTCAGCAGAATTTTATTTTCTGCCTGGAAAAATCTTAAAAATTGTTATATCCGTAATGAAACAATAAAAATGGAAGGTCCTGGCATTCCTGCAACAACATTCCTTTGTGAAACAAACTTTGTCCGTAGCTCGTTTGTGTCCGACGTACAGCACGTTGCCATTTTTAATTGTGAACGTTTTCGGTCAGCGGTTCTTCTCCGCATACGTACTTCATATAATAATGGTATTAAGTGCCTTCACTGCACGTGCTCAAAATGGCCGCGCCTTCAGCTTCGTCCTCGAGGAAGCGGAGTCTGGATAAAACATCAGACCAGGCTCCTAAAAGAAAATTCCGCACGGAATGGACCTCCAGAACTGGATGATTTCGTTGATGAGTGTGTTCTGAAGTGGCAGCAAGCTCGAAGGGGAAGATAAAAATCTGTTCATCTTGTGTTGTTAATATTCCTCAAGAACTCTAGAGCAGTAATGGAACAATTTGGTGTGGAAAAAGACATTTTTATATAAAATTGTACTTGTGTTCTATGCTGTTATCTAAGGAAATGTAGTACTTTGCATTAAAGCACACATCTTGTTTTTCTTTGAAAATGTAGTGTTTTGTTTGTTATGTTCCTTGACCTCACATTTTCAAAAATGACTCCAACATTTTTGGACAAGGAGTCAAAGTGACCTCAAAGGGAAATAGAAATTTGTAATCCCTGGACACATCATGAAAAAAACAGCCACCACAAATCTATAACACATCAGATCGCCGCCTTCACAGCCATTCTTTGCATCATCACACAACACTCTTCTCCACAAACAGCTTCTGAGAAAACAGCTGACATTTTTTTGATGCCACCACTGGTTTCCCCTAAAATGAGAAAGAAGTGCAGAAATTCGACACTGATGACATGTCACTTCCCAGATCTGGGAAGTGCTTCTGATTGGTTGTGCTGCAAAGGAAATTTGCTTCAACCAGTTAGAAGAACTAGGGTAGTGTTGCATCATCTGCAGATGGAATTCCTGTATTCATGCACTCCTTTCTCAGACATCATTTCTTGGGAAAACAGTGGTGGCATCATGAAATGGCAGTTGTTTTCTCAGGCTACACAAATGGTTGCTGAGAATCAGATTTCTGCCTCAATTTTCTGAATAATTTGCGTTAAGTTTATGGTATGGCGACTCCCTATATGGGAATCATTGACAAACCAATCAGAGCCATGGTGTTAAAGCACAAAGTACATGTACATGTATGATTGCCCTTGTAGAAATTCAGTATACTTTAAGTATACTTTAAGTATACTTCAAGTATACTTTATATGTACTTCTCAGAAAAAAAGTACATTTGAAGTATACCTCGTTTATACTTCTAGAAAAAAAGTATAAATGAAGTATATTTGGCAAATGTACTTCATTTATACTTCTAATACTTGAGTATACTTTAAGTATACTTCTTCAAACTTCACTGCTTGTGAAAAATAGTTTCGCAAAGAAAAATATACTTTAAGTATACTTTGAAACTGAAAGACACATTCTGATCTGAGGATCTAAGAAGGTTTGTCCGGATCTTGAAATCACTACAAGACAAAAGTATACTAAAAGTATGCTTTAAGTATAATTTAACTTCAAAATACTATTCAGATCAAATCAGTTTTCTTCTATTAAGGACACAGTTTCATTCTGGTCATTTCTTTAACGTCATTCGTGGAATTTTTGCATTTGGCAGTAAAAGATAATAGATTTAATTAAGGCCCGCGTCGTTTTACCTCCTTTTTTACGAGAACCTTAAGAAATAGAACGAAAACTCGAAGCAAAACCATCGCTCATCGTCGGACATCTTTACGTTCGAGGAAAGAAAAGTATATATGAAGGTGTTGAATTACCGCTGACTTCTAGTGCCGTCCGAACATATACGGGATCTTGTGGATTTCCTAATACGGTCATGTATGAATCATTTACAGCATACCTAACTTCCATATATGGTTTTGGCGGGCGATACAGATTCGAAGGAACGTTCGTTGAGCTTTGCCGAGCGTGTCTTCAAGATATTTATACGCTTGGAATATTGCCTTTAATTTATCCTCACAATTCGAGTACAATATGAGTGGAACTTGAAAAGAAAACAAAAGAAGTACACCATGACTGAATTTTGACGATACAAGTAAGTTTTGGGGTGAGAAATATATCAGTTCGAGTCGTTCCAATATATATCGATTCTTCTTTGCGAGTCATTTGCAAATGATACACGAGTTAAGCCTTAAGGTTTACAAAGCGAAAGCTTGTCTACTTCGCCTAAAGTGCAGTGTAAATTCAAAATATGAAACCCAAGTCTTGTTTTCATTAGATCGCATTTCGTTCCAGTTTTTGTATGTAATAGGTAGACATATTTCTTTTAAAATAAGGTAATGACACAATTTACTTTGTAGCCAAAGAGTACAGATCTAATCATTCTTGTCTATTAAACATTTACTAAAATTAAGAAGAATATTGTGTGATGGTTCTAAGCAATAATTATTAAGTACAAGTGAGTTAAAGAAAGTTCAGAAAGAAACCTGTTAATATATACAAGCACCTTCCTTGAAATGATCTCATTGTCAATGAAAATTTTACTAAAATCAAGAAGAATAATATGTTATGGTAATCAAATGCAGTGAGTTCCTTTGGTAGGATAGAAAATGTATTTTCTTATGTTGTGGAAACCTATTTCAACAAGATTTGCTATATATTTTTTATAATTTCTTAGTACATTTGTATTACTATAAGTTAAGGGTAGTTTTTTTTTGTTATATCAATAAATGATTTTACAATATAACTGATCCAAGTCTGACGTGTCTCAGTGATTGATAAACATTATTGCATTGAGTATACTTTAAGTATATTTTAAGTATACTTGAAGTATACTTCCCATTAAGTATACTTCAAGTATACTTTCATTTAAGAATACTTTAAGTATACTTTTTAGGTGTCGAAAAGTTGTGTACTTAAAGTATACTTCTGGTAAGTATACTTAAAGTATCCTTTAAGTACAAATGAAGTATACTTTTTAAAGTGTTTATCACCTATATAAAGTATACTTTAAATGTACTGAATTTCTACAAGGGTGCTTTGCAACAAAGTCATTTCGCTGCATAATGAAGTCGATGAGCTGCAAAGTTGTAAAGTCATTTCGCTGCATCATGAAGTTGATTCATCTTGTAATAATTAAAAATTTAAGCTTCTACATACAGTCGTACCTTTGTCCCTGTTTATAACATTTTTGTGAAATTCAGTCTGTTAGTTCATTCATGATCAGCGGTTATGAACTTACAGGTAAGTGAAAATCTTTCAAATAAATTTACTAACTGTCCATAAGTGATTCCAAGATTGAACAATATTATTTTACACTAAGAACACTACCACTATTTGCACGGCCATTGTCCACTGTATTGTAAAAAACCTCACAGGTATTTACCCGTGTATAATGCGCACTTTTTTTACGACATTTGAGGCTGAAAAATTACGCTGCGCATTATACACGGAACCTTTTGTTTCCGAAGTGCTACTCATTTGCATAAACAAAAGAAACAATAGCAGATGGCTGTTTCCAGGACTGTTGTTATGACAAGAATATAAACTACCTATCACAGCTGTTTAATTACAATCAATAAACAACAATCGGTATTTAAAGACAATGTTGTCAAGTATCTTTATTTCAATCACTGTTAACTTACGTGATCGATTATGGCGACGAAGCGACAAAGTTATACAACATCAGAAAAGTTAAAGATTATACAGTTTGCAGAAGAACACGGAAATCGAGCAGCCCAGAGAGAGTTTGGAATGACATGCCCTCAAATCGAACTGTCAGTAAAACTGGCGAGAAAACTGTGAAGATTCGGACAACTGGAAACGAAAAGAATTGCCTGACGGTTGTCTTGACATGCGCAGGAGACGGTTCCAAGCTGAAACCGCTGGTTATTTTCAAACACAAAACCATGCCCAAAATTGCAACAAACATGGCGTCGTTGTTGCCGTGCAGGAGAAGGGATGAATGGATGAAAATATCATGAAAATTTGGATCGAGAAAGTATGGCGATCACGAATCAGAGGACTTGGAAGACGAAAGAGTCTTCTTGTGCTTGATTCTTTCAAAGCCCATAAGACCGGGCAAGTCAAGCGTTCATTCAAAAGCGAGAACACAGATTTAGCAGTTATTTCTGGGGGGTTAACTTCAGTGTTGCAGCCTTTAGATGTTTGTTTGAACAAGCCGTTCAAAGACAGAGTGAGGCAAAAGTGGATGGCATGGATGGCTGAAGGAATTCATGAACTTACGGCGAGTGGACGCCAGAAAAAACCATCAGAAGAGCTCATGTGTCAGTGGATCGGCGAAGCGTGGCGTGACATTCCAAGAGAAATGGTTGCGAATTCGTTTCTAAAGTGCGGAATTACAAATTCCTTGGACGGTTCCGAAGACGATTTTATATTTGATACCTCCTCAGATGATGAATCGATCGTGGCAGATGACTCACTCGTGTCAGAGTCAGACTTCGAAGGATTTTAAGCTATCGGTATTATTGTAAATAGGCCACTAGGATCATTGCTGTACTGTAACAAAGATTGTAAGAAAAAAAGTCGAGCTTTTCTTCTGTAAACTTAAAGTTTACGGGTACTTGTAATAAACTGTTATACTGAAGAATATTTTGTTGTATTTTGCGCTGAAAATGTTTCAGTTTGTGGCTTTAATGACAATAGGAATTACAATTTTTTTCTAGAAAGTGTCTTGAAAAATAGGGTGCGCATTATATACGGGTGCGCATTATACACGGGTAAATACGGTAACTGTCCATAAGTGATTCCAAGATTGAACAATATTATTTTACACTAAGAACACTACCACTATTTGCACGGCCATTGTCCACTGTATTGTAAAAAACCTCACAGGTCAGTCTCAGCACATTTGATAGTAACAGAATAAGACATTAGAACCTAGGGTCACTTGGCTGTACCATTCTCTGCGTGGATTTTTAGTGCACAGGCTTGATCAAGACAAGACATGACAATTTAACTATAATATGTAATAAGCTCTATATACAGAATCCTAAAACATTAATCTGGCAAAACAGTCCGTAGATAACATCAATCATAATTATCAAAAATATCACAAGCTCATGGCCACTCATATTTTAATTGCATTCAATTTGTCGATTTAAAAAATTCCAAGCCTCTTTTGACGCAATAACTATTTGTATGTTAATTTGATACTGTATTGCGTAGGCAATAAAAGGCACAAGATGGAAGAACTAAACTCATTAAATCACTTGATCAAGCTGAGGCCATTCAGAAGCAAATTATCCAAAGTCTCAGTTTCGCGAGTCATCATCATCATAAAGGAGTCTTCACATGGAAGAGATGTCGACAGGTCCTAATCTAAGTGCTTCACACTGGATTTTGTATAGATGATTCTTCGCCTCCGCAGGCTTTACTTTGAACTTAACTGTTATGAATAAACACCCAAAAAAAAATAAACAGAGAAGTTATTTTTTGAAAAATTGATTTGAAAACCCAAATCTTTCTGTTCTCAAATGAAATTCATACTACAATTCCAGAGTCATGTGTCCGTACTCTCAACTAAAATTAGACCCAAGTTACACAATAAAACTCTCTCGAATCTGAGTACGTTTTCTAAAATATTTGCTTTTTGCTTGAATTTAACATCAAACTGACTAAAAAGTCAATGACACAATGCTAATAGATGCATTTCCCATTGTGAAGCATAATTTTCTTTACTATAAAGTACATGGACCTTAAATGCCAGGCTAAAATCCTGTAAAAATGTCACTCACTGAGTTTCTCTACTCACTATTACTAATGCATTTTTGACCTTACTAGAAAGAGGATTTTCTCAACTTGCCTCAGTTTTACTATGCTAGCTTTTCGTTAGCGTGGAAAAATGGGCAAATGGTTGATGGCTAACTGACCAATCAAAGCCTGCGCTTTACTTTTTTATGTTATAAAATAATGAAAGCGTATGCTTGTAATCTCGCTGTTGTCACAATTGTGTTCATGCAATCATACATTAAAACAGAGAGCTTCCATCATCAGTGAATGGTACATAACGATTCTGCTGTATAATTATTAAGGCTAATCAAGTCTCCTTTCCTTTCCATGCTCCAAGGTTTGCTAGCAATAACTCTCAGGGAGTACTTCAGCGACACGGTATTTAACTTGTTAATACCTGTTTGTAGTTCATTCTAATTTATTTTAAAACAATTTTAACAAGCTTGCAGCAAAACAACTTCATTATGCAGCAAGACGACTTCTAGAGAAATGACTTTGTAGCGAAACAACCATAAACCGAACGCAATACAAGTATCCAAAGTGTTCAATGATTTTAGGTGTGATTCAGTATCGGCCATTTCAATCATTCATCAGTTTTTTAGGATTTTATCAAAGGAACAAAATATCTGTCTTCAGATTAAAGAACCCAGATTTTTTTGGCAATTTCTTTGCTGAATTATTCAGCAAAGAAATTGCCACTTGACTGTTACCCTGAGTTACCAAAATAATGAACCAAATAATGAAAACATACTCGTGGCCAAGTCAGTTAATTTCTGATATCATTGGTTACAAATGAACTCCTATTTAAAAATTCATTTCGAAGTGAAGATCTGATACTTGGCATTTTATTTTATTAAATTTATCGAGATATTATGCGTGTTACAGGTCTTATTGTTTTTCATCTTGATCTAATGCTTTTGAGGTTTAGGATCCGTTATTAACAAAGCAGCTGATAACAACCACAAATTGAAACGATATTATATACAGCCATGATGCCTATTTAAACTCGCGTCAAACGGAACAAATTATAAGAAGTTTAAAGGCATGCATTTACAGCATTGTACAATGCTGATTGACCAAGGTCTCGATAAATATTTAACCAAAACTCGATGGATCATCGAGTTGCACCATTTCATATCATTTGTATCTACATCCGTTGTAAATATATAAGCTTACATTTATATTAAAGCATGCTGTAATAAACATGAGTATACACAAATAATTAACTTAAACCTAACCAAATTATGATATTGTGTACCTACCACCAGTGCATCTGTCGCGTGTTGTTGTTGTTTTGTTGGACGGGTAGCGGCCTTCAAAATCATCTTTGTCAATAATTTCGCGACAGCGAGAACAAATGAGCTCACTGCGTTTCGTTTCTTCCTGAGGCGATGATGAAACTGCACCATCCAACTCTACTTGCGTGTTACTTCCATACGTGAATTCGAAGCTGTTTTGAAAAGCAGCCTCCACTGCAATTCTGCTTTTATCTTCTCTTTCAAATACTAGCTTGCTGTCATCTTCAGCTTTAACAAGAGGAATGGAACAAAATATTTCTTCTTCGCCGCCAAGGGCGCGATCAAATTCTGAATCGATGAAGGCGTCAACATCTACATGCACAGGTCCAAAATTTTCAAAAACTTCGTCCAGTACATCGAAGCCCGCTTCTTGCGAAGACGACATTTTGTGCACACAGAAGCACGCATGCAAATGGAATCACTTTATGGTACTTGTTGATTTCCTTTTTCCTTTTTCTCAAATCTCTTATCCAATAGTGATATTTACAAATTAAGAATATTACAACCTGTATCCTCGTTCATACGGTCAGAAGACGGAAAAGCGCCCGCACTGTCTGTGTAGGTTTCCACAATAATTTGCCACGGGTTCTTTTGGAAACGTAAAGAAAGTGACCGCTAGTCTTTATACTATGAGTAGCGCCAGATTACAATAATCTGCAAATCTACCCACGTTTAAGACCTTGTTGTGATTTTATAACACTCCATTCGACCAGCGAACAGAACAAACCACCAGTGAGTGATAAATATTCCGTGGTAAGGTAAATGAATGGCTGAGTCAGCTGAGTCATACCTATAAATAGCAACCAATCAAATTGATCCAAAAGGAACGGGCCCAGGCAGCCCAGGCAAACATCCTTTCGTTTCCCGCGCTCAAAATGGACGAACTGAGCCTTCATTGATTGAATCTTTTTTCCTTGATCTCTTTGTGAGCCTGAAAATTGACTGAAAAATTCGTCTAAATTTAGTGACAAATTCGCCTTAACCTTGAAAGAATGCCATTTTTCGTGTTAAAGGAAGTTCAAATCTCCGCCTTCCAGTCGCGGTTGTGGTTGCGAAAGGTCAAACGGAAGTACAGTGGGCGCGATCCATTCAACCAAAACTCCGACCGGTCCGACCGGGAAAAGTGGTCCACCTCAAAAGGTGGACCAGGGGTGCTTACCATTTGACAGAAAATTTCGGAAATTCCGGATGGAAAGTAAATGGTAAGGTCACTTTTCGGAAATTCCAACTGAAAATTGGGTTTTGAGGTAGTCCTTTCATTCCGGTTGGCACGAACCAAACGGAATGTTGCTTACCATTAACCAACTTCTCGGTTCCTTCTCGGTTCCAGACTCACGCTACACAAATTCGTCCTTTTTTTGGATTCAAACCCTAACGGATGTGGCATTTCTACGGTAAACTGGTAAATCGCTTACCATTATGCTTTCGACACCCCAACCGGGTGCACCCCAGTTTTTTCCAAACTTTTCCGGCTGGACCGAACCAATCCATTGAGTTTTGGAACGAAATTTCTGGAAATTTTGGTTGAATGGACCCAGCGAGAGTGTTTGTTTGCAACTTAACCTGCAATAGGACAATTTTGAAATTATACTGTAGTGTTTGGTTGAAAATCGTTTGGAGATCACGAGCCAGAATGTACAAATCTCTGTGTAAACCTGCTTATAATGCACCACTTGGCAGGGAATTTTACTGATTGGCCGCTTGTTGAAACACCGCTAATTTCCCGGCTCTCTGGGCCAAACACTTGTTAAAAGCCCGTATAGCGGGGCAATAGTTGTTCAGTTCGGATATACAGTATTTGCTGGTCTCAACTGTACTTGTTCCTAAATTCAACCACATTTTCAACTATGCTTACCAACTGCAGTGAAATTGAACCTCTCTTTGGGGGAATGACCTACATTCAAATTTCCATCATGGTGTGCGTACGTCTACCCTGGATACCTTTCTGGGTACCTTTCTGGGTACCAGAGGTTTTTCTCGCGTGCGGTGGGAATTTTCGGTGTTGGCCGAAGCCGCGAGCGCGGGTCACTATAAAGACTTGACAGAAACCGGAAACCGCGCTAGAAAAGTCTCTGGGACCCAGGGTAGCGTACATCTAGCCTGCGAAGCGCGAAATACGTCTGCGCTTCACAGGCTAGGTAATACCAGGCCGAGGAACACTAGGGAAGGACCTGGGTCTGGAAATCCAACCTTAAAACCTTAAACAGTGACTTGTTTTGTAACAGTGCCATGGAACTAATTCTGGTTATTTCGAAAATGGCATCTCGGTAGCCCCTCAGGCCACCTTCCTTCACGAGGGGTGCACAGCAAATCGGAGCCGCACGATGTTTACATGGTGATGTACATGTCCACATGTTGTTGCTGATGCCTTTACACTCTTTTTTTTCTATAAGAATATATTTTATAAGAATATCGAGGCTGAAATTTGCGAAATCTTAAGAATACTTTAAGAATAAACTCCAGGCTGAGATTTTGAAAAGGATATAATTTCGTGTTGTGAAAATCTGTAAATACAATACAAATATACGTTTTCAATTTATTCCTTCCTTTAAACGGCAAAACTAGCTAACTATATTTAACAAAACTATAATTGATACCTTAATATATTCTAAAACGGAAATTTCATAAGCTATTATTAAGAATAATACAAGAATATTTACAGCCTAAAATCGGCGGAAAAATAAGAATATTCAGCCTGGCCCTGGAAAACAATATTCTTATATAAAAAAAAGAGTGTATCTGAACAGTTACTGCGTTTATAGACTTTATACCTCCCTATACATGCATGCACTTATACACATTTCCGTGTACCTTTAAAAATTTACCTGTCACTTTATGGAACCAAGGCAGCGCGGCAACTAGATGGCCGATCAACTCCGTGGAATCACGAAATTTCCAATGTATTAGCATTTTATTTAATGTAATTAATTAATTAATCTATTTTTTGTCCGTTGAATCCACTTAATTAGAAATCTTTGATATTTTCTTACCTACTAGGGCAGTGTGTTAGTTTTACTACTTTTGTCCCTTTTCTCTTTAGTCATTTCTTAATTAACGAATTATCTGTTTTTATAACTTGACTGTATAACCTATAGAGAGAAATAAAATTGACTACTAAATATCACAGTCAGCAAGGTTTAAAAATACAATGATAGAGCTTCTGAAGACTTCTTCAGATATACGAACCTCAAAGGAATTTGATTCTGAAAATATCAACTTGTTACAATTTATCATAACTGAACGGAACTTTCAACTGTGAATTACCAACTTATGTAAATGGCTAAGATATTAATAAAATATCTAACAGTAAAATGCAATGGAGTGATTTCATCGGTTTCCATGGTGGTCGCTCATGTCTTACGAAATGAAATGTAACAAAGTTTTTGTACTCTGTGACTGCATTTTTTGTCCCAGCCAATACTTTATATTGTTCCTTGAATTACATAGGCAAAATCTCCGACTGGATTTGCAAATTCTTTTGTCCGACTTTGGCCCACGATATTCTGCAAACGCCAGTTGTACCACGTGACCAGGTTCCCTTAACTTGTCCTTCACTGTTTCAACTTATTTTAACGACATAAATATGAGTAGGTTCACGCCTGTTTCATCTACAAAAATCATTTTGTAAAGTTTTATCTGTTTATTTACTATTTTTTGAAAATGTCAACTTGAATCTGACGCTTGCGCTTTGCTGCGAACGTTATTCTAAATCTCTCTATTGACTGTGGAATGCTAGTGCACTATCTTCAAGTTCATGGGATTTTCCAAGAAAATGAACAGTTTTCTTTCTGAACCAATTGAAAATAATCAAGAGTATTTCGTCAGCTTCATTAACCTCCATGACCTTCATATTCGGGGATGGAAGCGGAATCATGAATCATGTATCATGGTTACAAAACTACTAAGAATCATGAGTCTTTGTACTTCGGCTCGTGAATCATGAAAAACGCGAGTCTGAGAAAAGCTCAACAAAATAGACGCATGAATTAATTGCGTTCGATCCAGCGAATGCAGGACATGGCATTTCCGAGAGTCCAGAATTTTCAAATATTTTTCCGAGGGAAAATGCCCCTGGACCCCCTATAATTCGTGCATTCGGGACTGACAATCCGCTCGTTTCTCCAGTAACAATAGTGCTTAATGTTCAGTTACAAAAAACTCCATACCTGGACAAAACGAATGATGATACCGAGAAACAGTAACACATGTACATAATTCTGGATGAAAACAGAAGTTTGAACGTACACCAAAGAAACTATACGAAACGAGGCTAAGTAGCCAATGAGAAAATCATTGAATAGGTGATCAAAAGTCTTCTTGAATAATGAACCTGGAAGAAAATTCTTTTAGGAAGCATGACTGAATCATTGAGGTAAAAACGACAGGACTCATGAATATCAAGATTCGAATGATTCCGCTTCTATCCCCGATCCATATCACACAGCTTTGAACCTTTTTTCCGTGCAGAGTACCTAAAGTATTTTTTGCTAAACCACTTTGGTTCTTTTCTTTCCATCTTTGGCTTGTCAGCCACCATTTTGAAAATTAGCAACCCAGAGCATAGAGGAGTTCACTCTTATAGTCGGCATCATGAGTAATCAGAGCAAGATGGCGGGAAATTCAATGATTTGTATTGGAATTCACATGAAGCCAGCTAATTTTTCCTAGATTCATATATTTGCCACGTTCCCCTTGAAATTAGTAACTTACGAGTTCAAAGAAATAATACACTGAATCTGAAGGAAGTCCGTGATCAGTTTTTAGAAAACCTTGATTCAGTTCTCCATACATTTTCTGTAATTTTGATACTGTCGAATTACAGACTTATAGGAAGACCGAAGGGCCTCTGCTCGTAGGGTACGGGGGTCGGGGGGCCGGGGTTTCAATTGACTGATGCATAAACCTCTTTGTTGAGTTTAACTATCCGTACTTATATGTATTGGAGTTGATTACTAAATATAGACACCAAATGCTGAATCGTCCTGACTCATACTGTAACCAGTTACTCAGTATGTTTCGACAGATTAAGTTCTCTCTAGACGCGCGGAGTACAGTTGACCTCCACGTGCAGTGCGACCTCCTCTCGTTAGCGACTATGAGTAGAGTCACGTTTAAGCCTAAGTTTTCCCCTTTCATTTACCTGTTTATTACTTCTACTCAAAAATAAGTAGTTTCACGCTAGTTTTATCCATAAGAATTGTTCTGGACCGTTGTTATCTTCTTATTTTCTATTCTGAGAAATAGTCCACTTGTATCTGACGCTTGCCGTTTGTCGGGCATGAGTCTTAAATCTCTCTATCAAAGGGACGCCAATCCAAAACATCAGAATTTTTCCAGTCAAAGCCCTATACTTGGGACCACCTCTCATATAAACGACCGTGACCATTCTTTGGGCTTGACGGTTTTATAGTCTTCCATAAGTAACCTCTTGTAACCGATCACTTAACGAATGGTGTCGTATTTTTGTTCGCTGCACGAACCATGCCACTCCGAGTATACGAAAACGTTTAGTAACAACATGGAACGACACGTATACGTAACTTAGAAATTGCACGCAATTAACTCGCTGCCAAAAAGTAAATGTGTCGGGACCTGTTCTCGAAAGAGACCCCCTGAATGTGGTTGTATTCTTATATAAGCCACCACCTCCCGTAAGCGACACTAACTCCGTTTGAATTTTGAGTGGTCGCTTATGGGAGGTTTGACTGTATACATTTACGATCACGAGATTTTTACTCCCTGAATATCGCTACAAAACTCATCTTATATCATTTTATCTCTCCTATACTCATGGTACTGCACTGTACTGTACGAAGCCGGGACAAACGTACAAACTAGATAACTTCGCTGATAGCATTCTTTGTTTACTAAATGTGTTCCGGAAGTAATGGAATGAGGAACGCTGGAAGGATGCTGGATAGGTGTCCCCAATTAGTGCCAATAGGCACTAGAACGACAAGACACTTTAATAAAGGTTATGTATGTATGTATGTATGCATCTGATGAAAGTGAGGCTACCGACCCATGACACCCAACACTCAATCGATTTGCCTGCTACCTTCGTAGCAACAGAACGGGAACGTCAATTGACGACGGCGCGCGCAAGTCAAACAGCTGGCTTGACCAATGGCAGAGCGGCAAATTGGGCACCGGAAGTCGCGTTTGTGCTCTCCGCGCGGTTTCCCGTCGTCAACTGACGTTCCCCGGTTCTGTTGCTAAATCAGCCTGATTAACTTTCTCGAGACACCGTGAGAATAATTCAGAAAACGAGAACTGGTTCGTGCGTCCAGGTCATTGGTAAAGTAAAGTTTTTAAATTCCATCAACTGATCAGGCGGTACCAAAAAGCATACCGTTTATGCTCGAATGAGCGCCGCTTCCCTTCCCTTAAGGTTAAAAACATCTCAGTAAGCGCTGATCTTCAAATAAACTTCCCTGCCCTCTAACCCTTCTTACTGAATATACTCATTTCAAGGAATAACGAATGAATAAAATCAAATGAAAAATGCTTTATTAACATTTGATCTCGTTTAGACCAGAGACCCAGAGTCCTATATATATACATTAAAACCTATATTATCATTATTGCTCTAGTAAGTATATACTAAGGTTAAATAGAGTTCTTCAATTCTCGCCCCTTATCCTGCAAAGGAATTTATCATTTTCTTTTCCATGCAGTCACCATCTCATTCCTAAGATTTGCCGCATGTTCAACCAAAAATTAGTATAACTATAAGTGTCTTCTAAAACAATGAAACAAGAACATTCTGTATGTAAAATTTAAAAATATAACTTCAAAAAATAGCAGTAAAAATTGAAGTGCTAGTAACTGACTTTTTTACGTAGGATTTGTAAGGCTATGCCCGATAATCTTTTGTAAAAACTCGTATCACCTCCTCAAAAATTAATAGAAGTAAAAAAATAATTTCGGGATTGATATCATTAGTTGAGGTTGCACTTGTTTTTCTGGGCATGGAGCAGGATACATGCCGACTGGCTTTGATTTCTGGTTATGTGGCCTTGCTTTTAACTTTCAACACTCAGTCAGTTTGCATCAAAATAAGCGCGATATATTAAGGAACAGTGGACCCAGAGAGACTCACACGTGCCCTGATCAATATTTGTTTAGCAAATTCTATACCATATACTATCCTACACTAAACGGATGACTACACTACACTACACTACAGTACACTGCACTGCACTACCAGTACACTACACTACACTACACCACACTACACTAGACTACACTACACTACACTACACTACACTACACTACACTACACTACACTACACTACACTACACTACACTACACTACACTACACTACACTACACTACACTACACTACACTACACTACACTACACTACACTACACTACACTACACTACACTACACTACACTACACTACACTACACTACACTACACTACACTACACTACACTACACTACACTACACTACACTACACTACACTACACTACACTACACTACACTACACTACACTACACTACACTACACTACACTACACTACACTACACTACACTACACTACACAACACTGCACTGCACTACACTACACTGGGCTGTACACCACACTACACTACACTAGACGGCTACACTACACTAAACTGGGCTATATACTACATAGCCTGTTCCAGGCTCCGAGATAGTCGGGACCGCGAAATTTGCTAAAGCACGAACACGAAAATAAAACCGGAGGAAACTGGGGAGAACCACTGCCCCCTTTTCCCAGATCACACTGTCATGTTTTCGAGTGCCTTTCACTAATGCGTCACCCTAGACTTTCTCAAAGCCCGTCGGCGTTCACGCAGTCGACTTGTAGCAAGTCTAGCGTCTCCCGGCGTCTCCCCCACTATGGAACAGGCTATATACTACACTGTACTAAAACACTACATTGTACTGTACAGTACTTTAATGAACCATACTATGTTATGCTATACTACGCTCTAGACCATAATTTGCTATATACTGCCGTATAATGCGTACCATGTCATACTATGATATGCTATCCTATAATAAACCACATCTTCTACACCCCTGGAAAAAATTAGCTCTTGTCGGCCGTGAGCAATGATAGCCTACTGTGTTCGCAGAGTACTTTTTGAAATTGCCTCTTTAATTTTTTTACTTCCACGACACAATTTTCTTCTGTGCATCAAGGCAACTAGGAATCCCTTCTTGGAATGTACGAAACAACAGAACACTGTTTTTCATCATTGTCCTTCCTTGTTAGCAGGCTTTTAATTGTTCCAAGTGCTGATTTCTTTTGCGTGAACTGCAAGATAAAGGCGCCTCGAATAAGTAAAAACCAAGGTTTTTTACTTTCACGAAATTCTTATAAATAGCCTAGCCTCGAACCTAGCCTCGAACAACTCATTAGCCCCCCTCCCCCCCCCCTCTAAAATATCTACTGTCCAAATGTCAAGGGGCGGATAAATGGTGGATGGACCAGGGTAATCGCGTTTTATTTCCTCAATATTTGTGGTCACGACGCTCAATTTAATTACACATAACAAGTAAAAAGTAAATGAAATACTAGCCGAGTGCGAATTTGGGATACCTACATTTAAGCACATTTCATCTACTCTTTCGTCTTTGCTAGGTGAGGGTCCTTCAGCACGTGCGACGTCTCCGCCTGATTTCAGTTGTTTTGGCCTTGCTCCTGGGTCTGAATGTCTCGAAAGCTTCTACACATAGCCAATAAAATTAAAAGAACAGTCAGTTAGTTCTGTTATCACACTACCTTAGAGAGTTATATTTGTGTCAGAGAAATTCAGTTTTCAAATGAACGGCATTTAGCAACTTTACCAATACTGAAGAGGTAAGGTAGAAGACAGAAAGAATCCACGGTAATAAAACCTATAATCTATACAGCAGGATCTATACCGTTGGGAAGTAATGGCGGGAAGAGGAGGGTGAACCTCTTTCTAGCGAAGACGTTTCTCATTATAGACGGGGCCTTACTCAAAGGCACTTTCTACTAACTTTAACAACAAAAATTTCAGTTGTAAGATTAAACACACCACACTTCATAATAAACAATAAAAATATTCTGAAGATGACAAACCTCTCGAAAAGGAACTGCTAGTTCTTTTCACTTGGAACCTCTGGTGAAAAACTGATAACAAAATAGAGTGCAGTTACTTACTTTTTTACTGTCGCGTGGCTTCTCACTCGCGGCAAGAGGTTGAGACACTGGAGTCTTGGGGAGGGGCTCGGGCTGCAAATCATGAAAAAAAAAATTCTGGTTAAGAGTTGACTGCTGACATCGATGTTTGGGTCGACCGAGGAAATTAACTAAGCTCGGCCTTGGACTCTGCATTACTTGTAACAATACATCAGACGATGAATATGAGACAGCTTTTTGCCACTTATTGGTATGATCGTCGCCAACATCTGTTTTTGTCTCGTAAGCCCAAACTTGGCGCCGAAAAATAAAACCACGCCCTTGAAATGAGTTTCCAAATCTACTTCTGCGTTTTCCGATTTTATATAAATCTCTCTTAAGCTAAGGTATGACCTTAGGTGATCTTATGTTTCCGAGAACAAGACTGTTATCTGTCGAAAACTTTTAAAATAATTTCGATTTTCCCTCGCTGCTGCTTGAAAAAATTTTAATAATTTATTGACGTAATTAACACAGCGAATAATGTGTTTACTGGACCAAAGTCTTGCTTCTTAATAATAACCTTACGTCTCACTTTAGCTTTGAATTCGACCTCTGTTCTACAGAATGGCAATTAAAATTATTAAACCAGAGTTACTTACGGATTTGAAGAGACTTCTCCACAGGTTATCTAGCAGCTCGACCTGCCTTTGCCGGTTGACCTGATATGTTTGTAGCCTTTGAAAATTCCCTTTTTCTTCCTCAGTCATTTTCTTTTGCAAAGATTTTAGATCATTGACCCTGTGTATAACGTCATTGTGTGCTGCTCTGAGCCCATTATTGGCCAGATCGTAGTAGTCTCTCTTCAGGTCTTCGCTGCATTGACAAGCTTCCCCAACCAAAGCTTGCATCGCGCTGTATAGCTCTTGCAAACGCCCGGAAATCTTTGTTAGCAGATCTATTTTGACTGGTGTATCTAGCTGATCTTGTTGTACTTCTGGCACCTCCAAAGGTGATATCACGTATGCCTTAAGCCGATCGTCTACATCTTTTAACCTATCACTGACTGGACGCTCTCGAGCAGCTTGATCAGGTTCTTCTACGTATACCACATCCTGCAAAGGCCATAAAGAGAAAAAAGAATACATGGGATAAAATTAACAGCGGTGCAAACTAAGGTTAATCCGGACGTAAGAAAGGTTTGAACTTTGGCTATTTGAGGGAGGACTAGTTAGGCCAAAGGGAAAATGATTAGCTCATCTTCCGTTTCTCACATGGCCATACCAATAAGACTGTGTTCCACAAAGTAGCTTTTCCTTGTTTCGAAAATGAATAATAATAATAATAATAATAATAATAATAATCGGTTATTGGTTATGACTCGCTCCCTTAACTTGAAAATCGGTATGAGATTTACAGCCAGTTCACAAAACAAGAAATAATAATAATAACAACAACAATAATAATAATAGTAATAATGGAAACTTTATTTGTGTTTTTGAATGTAAAATTGTAAATCTCGCTACGTATAGGCAATTTACAAATGTTGCTTGAGGTTGGATTATTCAAAAGAAAAAAACAAAACAAAAAACAAAAACAAACAAAAACAAAAACAAAACCAAAGCCAAAAAAAAGCAAAATTGCATTAAGTCTGGGCTATCCCGGTTCCTATTTCTACAACAAAAGATGTAATATGTTAATAATAATAATAATAACAATGACAATGATAATTATAATTATTATAAAGATATTTAAGCTTTTTGTGTTTTGAGGAACAGAACAGTTTTCAACCAAACATGGGAACTGCCCACTGTCCAAAATTTTACTTGTGGCAGACAATGTCGTGCTGTTGTTGTTGCTGCTGTTTGTTGGTGTTATCGTAAATTCAGTATAAAAGTAGCTTACTAATAAAAGACTGTTTAATTATTCGTTAATAAAATGATATGAGATGCGGAAACGGAACTGAGAGGTTCATTCTCACACCCCCTTTATACACTCTGTTTAGATGGCATGTTCTAATACTCGAGTGGTTTCTGTTGTAAATCGCCTTATGGGAAGGTATTTCCTTGTAAAAGTTTATGACCAGTAAGTCTCCTTCGCAGCCACCTCAAGCAATGTTCCCACCCCCTCTCCTCCCCCTCTCCGCCCCCACGCGGGGAGCTTTGTGTGCAGAGCTCGGCCTGAGCCACGCATATGCTCCGTTTGCCGTAAACTTAGGGGTAAAGATAACCTTGGTTTCAAGAACTCCTTCAAGAAAGACCGAGAACGTGATTTACTACCTGTTCATGTAGCCCTGCGGCTTCCAATCCCAGTCTAGCACGCAATTCCTGGTTCTGTAGGAAAAATAATACCAACAAAAAAAATAAGACAAACTTTAGGAAAGCGGTACACGTAAACCAACCCACGGCCCGGCCAGTACCTCACGCATGCACACAGCCATATCACCTGGGAAGTGGTAGCCATGGACAGCAGCATGTTTCGCCCTTATTGGGGCTCATCAGCATGGCATAGCCGTCGGGTCTATGAACGGGCACGCCGTTGGAGAACTGCCGTGCGGTTCCCAGCCAACAGCCCCCACAAGCGTTGTGTGGAGCTGACGCTTAAAGGAGTGCTTTGCACTCGCTTGGCTTGGCCCGTTCATAGACCCGACGGCAATACCATGCCGATGAGCCCCAATAAGGGCGAAACAGCTGTCCATGGCTGCCCCTGCCCAGGTGATATGGCTGTGCGCATGCGTGAGCACTGACCTGTCAACAGATCAATAGGCCACTTCCGAGTTCCCAAAACCGTCACTTTCAAAATGAGGCCAAGTGCACAACCTTTCTTGTGAAAATGAGTTTTATTTGCATTAGAATGAAAAATCATTTGAGGCTGAGCGCTTAACTTCGTTTTGATACAGAGGTCTGGGTGAACTCGGAAATTGCCTATTAATGTGCAAAATATTTTTTTAAATTGAAAAACGAATGTCACAATGTTTCGTTCTTGCGATTGTTTATCATCGTCTTTTTGCGTTTAAACCGGCATCCGCGCTATTTAATTTACATTTCTTTTAAAACTCTTTCGCTGTTGGCATGGGGTGAATATTAATGTAATACAAGCAGCAATAAACACTCGGAGGCGCAAAATCAGTTTTACTAAATGCAGCGTGCTTTCAGTAATTGCTGTCTCTATTGATACGATACTTTTTTATAAAAAGCCACTTTCAGATTCGAATCCGAGATTCGAACTTTAGTCTCATGAGTATTTGTAGCTTACCTCTTCTTCCAATTCCTTAATTCTGGCACTCATGCTAATAACCTGTGTACGAAGCAACAAGAAACGCATTAACATTTAGAAGAATTTTCTCCGAATGGTCATGTGGACGTTTCAGTTTACACGCAAGTGCACACTTTTTACGTTGTTATATATTTTTAATACCTTTGCTTCCAAACTGGATAACTGATCTTTCACCTCACGAAACTCCTGGAATCCCTTGACCTGGAAAGAAATGCAGATATTCTAAATAAAGATTTTTACAAAGAAGGACTTCGAATTCGATGCAACATAAGATATCGGCAAAGACGCCACGGTTTTAAAGCTCACAAGAAAGCAGAGAGATTTTTAAATGCAGAAATAAAACATTCAAGTTTAATTTGCGTAGGATCGAAATAAATCAGGCCCAGTTGTGCCACTATCTACCCATACTCGGATCAATCGGCATCCAGTGGATAAGTATTCGGGAAACCAATAGCGTTATATATCTGCTGGATATATTTAATAGCCCATGAGGCCGAAGGCCTAATAGGCTATTGACTCAGAGGCCATTCGGACTCGAGGAATAACTGTTTTAGTAAAATCAAACTATTTGATCAAAAATCTCAAGACAAGACAACCTTGGCTAGTTAAAGCCAGACTATTTAAAGGACTAAAATCCTTTTTTGTTGCTAAAAAGCCGGCCCTTTTCGCCACTAGTGGGCTAGACCAGGGAAACCAGTCCATGTTCTATGTTATATTTTTCTACTCCTTTAATATGAAAGACACTGCCTTTGCTGCCATGACCCGTCTAGATTAGCTTTGCTACCCGCGGGCATGTAATACACCTTTTGCTGTTCATTACGAGAAAATACGCATTCATTTGCGTGAAAAGGCGACCAACAGCGCGAAGATACATTCATTAGCGCGAAAAAGGAAACCTTTGCGCGTAAATCAGATTCAATAACGATTTTTGCATTTTAATCAACATTCAATAACATTTTTGTGCATTCATTTGCGTCATTTGACATACAAAAGAGAAAAATATACTTTCATTAACGCCAACATTCGAGTCATTAACATTATCTTGAAAATCATTAGGGACGATAGACAAACATTTAAGTGCAAACGCTATTCATTAACATTTTTATGACACTGTTTGCAATTCAATAGCATTCCTGGACAGCTTCAGAATGGATAAGACAAACATTAATGCGCTT